AAAAGAAAAGAGAAGAGGGAGGTCTGACCCACAGTGGTCAGCAGAGGCCTAGGTTCTGGGTATTTTATGGAGATAATGCCAATAGGAGGTACTGGCGCACTAGATGTGGGTGTGAGACAAACTGAGGATTTAAGAATGTCTCCAAGGATTTTGGCTAACCATTGGAAATACAGAAAGGGAAGATTAGGCTAAGCAGATTTAAAGGAGAACATCATGTTTTAGATATACAGTCATGCACCGCATAATGATGATTCGGTCACCAATGAACTGCATACACAAAGGTGGTCCCATATGAAGGTGGTCTCATAAAATCATTATGAAGCTGAAAAATTTGTATTGCCTAGTGACATCATACCTGTTATGACATCATAGCGCAATGCATTACTCACAGCTATTAATATAGAATAAGGATATGAAGATTTTTGTATAGTTGTACAACGTGTTTGTGTTTTAGGCTAAGTTATTACTTAGAGTTGAAAAGTTAAAAACAATTAAAAAGTTTATACAAGTCACAGTAAGCTAAGGTTAACTTACTAAAATTAATTTATTATTGAAGAAAAATAATTTTATGAATTTCAGGTAGCCTGAGTACAGTGTTTATAAAGTCTACCATAGTGTAATGTCCTAGGCCTTCACATTCACTCCCACTGAGTCACCCAGAGCAACTTCCAGTCCTATAAACTCCATTCATGGTAAGTGCCCTACACAGGTGTAATGTTTTTTATTTTATACCATATTTTTACTGTATGCTTTCTATCTGTTTAGATATAAAAATGCTTACCACTGTGTTACAACTCCTTACAGTAGTCAGTAGAGTAACACACTGTACAGGTTTGTAGCCTAGGAGCACTAGGCTATACCACGTAGCCTAGGTGTGTAGTGGGCTGTACCGTCTAGGTGTGTGTAAGTGCACTCTGTGATATTTGCACAACTAAGTTGCCTAACGATGCATTTCTCAGAACATATCCCCGTCATTAAGTGATGCATGACTGTATTCAGTTTGAGATGTCTATAGACGCCCTAATGGAGATGTCAGTGGGCAGATGGAAAAGGAGTTGAGTGGCTAGGGGAGTAGTCTTGGTTAGAGATATAAACATGGCATTTGTCACCATATAGGTAAGATTTAAAGCCTAAAAGAAATCCACACAGGGCTTAGTACAGAAAGAGCCTGAGTCTACCCCATTATTTAGAGGTAAAGAAGAAAAAGAAAAATGAGCAAAGAAACTAAGAAGGAACAGGAGTAAAGCAGCAAGAAAATCGGAATATATCATTCCAGAAGCCAATTAAAGATGGTGCTTCAAGGATGAAGGTATGATTAACTGTGACATTATACTGGATTTAGCAAAGTGGGGGCCACTGGTGACTTTGATAAGGGATGTTTCAGTGAAGAACTGGGGATCAAAGCATGATTAAGGAGAATTCAAGAAAAAAATGGGAAAAATTGAAGAGGAATTAGATATAATAAATCTTTCAAGTTGTTTTGTTGTGATTGAAAGCACTAGTGGTTGAAAGAGTGTGGTTAAAACAGGGATTGTTTTTGACAGAAGGGAGAATTACTGCAGTGATATTTTTGAATAAAAGAAGGAAAATGGGAGCTAGCGTACAAGTGGAGAGGCTGACATAGACAGGCACATGGACAGTTCATTCGTAATAAAAGCAGATACAGATGCAAGCAGATGAGCAGATACGGTGAAATAGAAGTTCTCTTCTGATTGTTCCTGTTGCTCAAGTGATCCCTCCCTCCTCCACACCACCTGCCCGCCGCAAGACGGACGGAAGAGGTACTGGAGAGATTGCAAAAATATGAAATAGTCATCATGGAGAGTGGGAGAGTGACTGGATTAGGGAAACGTGGCCGGATACCAAGTTGCACTCAGGGACCACAACTTGTTGCCGGTCATCATAAACTTAACGTGGACTGCTCAGATGTGTTTTCTTCAGTCACAATAGCTGTGTGCAAGGCACAGGCAGAAAATTAGATTACACCAGGATTAGGGTTGTGCTGGGCGGGTTCAACAAAGAAAGGAGCTAGGGAGTCAAATCATAATCTTATAAAGTAATTCCTCCCAAACAAGGGAACACACGTCCCTTGAATTTTTTTTAAAAACTGACTGGACTTAAAACGGTCAAGAAGAGAGACTACATCAGAGAAAAAAAAGATCAACACATAATAGTTTCACACAATGTTGTCAATTCTGTTTTAATTTTTCATTTTGACTCTTAATTTTAAAACACCTAATTAGAAGTAAAAATGTATATTACTGTTAGAAATATGGTTCACTGCATCACTTATTAAAATAACATCAATTAATAATGAGCCATTACCTGCTTCTTTCATGGAAATCTGGTCTATCATCCCTTTTAATATGTAAATGTTTCCTGATAATGTCCTAAGTTTGTTGTGCTTAATCCGTTCTATAATTGCATTACTGTGCCAATATACGTTAGTGATGTGCCTAGGAGGAAAAAAAAAATCACTTAGTTAAGGCCAAAATATTCACATTTTACCAGTAGTCACAATGTAGATAAGTATATAAATTTGTAATATAAATGTGCATTCCAGCTACATTAACAATATTAATATAATTATAAAATTTTTGAGGGCCAAACATTGCAGCAGAATTCAACTGCCTGGGTAATGTGATCCTCAGAGTATGTGCCAAGAAACTGCTGTGACCAAACCATACCCCTAAGTATAAAAATACACCACTAGCAAGTGAGCAGGGAACCTCTCTAAATACCTGGTGCTGACAATGCTTGCAAGTCCACCTTAACTGATGCTAAACTTCCAAAGAATGATGCCCCCATCTCTCTTCTTAGGGTCCATGCTGTGTTAGCTGTCAAGCAATTATACAGTTTGGATCCATCTAACCTTGTGGTTTGTTCACTCTCACTATACAGCCAAATGATTTTACCTTCCTCTTTGGAAAGTACCATAAAGAGGTTCCAGGGAAAAAACAAAATGCAATATCAAATCAATGACCCGTAAGTCTATTCTTCATATTTCCTTAAATAAAACTAAGAATATAAAATAGAATGAAATATGAATATGTTATTAGATAAATGTTGAACATTTTCCATTTCACCAGATAATAATATACTAAGTCTAAGCGTAATAAGAAAGAAAGTTACATTCCTTTAATTTGGTGAAATGGGATTAAATTCATACATTGTACTTTAATACAATGTTATTTCTCATTCTGTTCTTTTTTGCTTTATTAATTTTATTTAACATTTAAATAGCACTCTAAAAGTACTGTTCTCAAGTCTTAAAAATATAACTCCCTTAATCCTCCAAATAACTCAAAAGGTAGTAATATCATCACCATTGTGCAGATGAAAAATCTGAGACTGAAAAAGAGTAATTTGCCCAAATCACACAGTCAGTAAGCAGCAGGAATGGGATTATCACGAAGGCAATCTACACTGCCTCTTGGAAATTCAGGAAGTGGGCACAAGGCAGGCTGAAATAGAGTGGGCAGGACAGATTTACATACTCAACTTCTAAACTTCCAGGTAAGCACCTTGAACAGTGATATCCTGTATTGTTTTTATTACAAGCTTTTATCATTTTTTTTTACCACTAAGAAATCGATGAACAGGAAATGGCAGTAAGAGATTAGTAGAATTACGCAAAGCCAACTTACCTGATGATGCTTTCAACTTTAGGGAGAAAGTGCCAATGGATTATTTAATATATAGCTATATGGCAAAGTTTTAAGTAATTTTGATTCCTTTTCTGGATCAGTAATTTATATCTGGTTGTCCCAATTTAGATGTGAGAATATGGACTGAAATGCATGTAGTAAATATTAACTAGCAATATATAATTAAGCATATAATACCAGTCCATTTATTAGAACCTCTGAAAAAAAATAAAGCACTACGTATACAAATTTGAACTGTCACTATTTAAAAAATAACTTAACAGGCAAAAAAGAGAAAGCTGGTTACAATCAACACATATAGTCATTTTACTTTTTTTGCCTTAAGTTTGTAACCTCGTTATAAAGTCTCTGTTTTGCAGAAAGACGCTATTTTACATCTATCTCCTTTTCAGTTCTTAAACACAGGTATCTTATTATAAATTTTATTAAAAGAGTATTCAAATGTTATACTTACATCAATTTTCCTTCTACACATATAGCTGTGTTATTGTTGATGATTTTAATCATCCATTCTTGTAGCTGGACTACCTAATCAAGCATAAAATAAAGTATAAATTTCCTGTATTACTTGTAGCATAAGCATTATAAAATCAATTTACATTAAAAGCAAAAACTCATATAAGTAATCCAATGATTCCTTAGTGCTCATCTATCTAAAAATCACATTCTATTTCAAGTAGCAATAAGGTAAAAACTCATAAACAATGAAACAGAAAAGATGGAATGAGATAGATTGAACTGAAATTGTACTGTATAGTTTGTTCTACAATCCAGAACCAATTATACTTTAAATATTCTTATTACCAACTATCTCAACCACTGGGAGAAAAAAAAAATCACCTAAAATCCTAAGATAGCCATTAAAACACCAAGTCTCACAAAAGGCCCAATAATAGAGAAAAAAGTCAGTCAGTTGTGTAGTATACATGCTACCATCACTCTTATCCCTAAAAAATTACAGCATATTTTTTTGCAAAGTTGATTTGCAGTTGCATTCAATTTTCTATTAATTATAACGGTGATTGCTAGTAATCTATATTTAACAGCATTCTATTCCAAAGCAAATGTCTGAGCAGCTCAGAGAATTCCTTATTTTAAGACAAGTAAAATACTATTAAAGAGGAAAATTTCTGTGAACATCTGTGCTAAGAAATTGTTTCTATTGCGTAACAAACACTGAACTATTTTTGATGCGATATATAGCCCAAAGTCATAAACTAACCAGTCTAACCATTTACTATATATATAAAATTATAAAGACAAATTCTTCAGTGGTAGTTTTATGCTGAGTCAGGAAAAGACAAAATGAAAGGGTGCTCTTTTGCACTTCTCAATTATGTTCATTTAAAAAATTATAGGTAGGACTTGGGACGAGACAATAAAATTCCTTTTTTTTTTCCTACTTCCACATTTGGAACTACCTGATATATAACAAAGCATCGGTGAGATGGTATTAAAAATAAAAGTTAGGGCCGGCCGAGTGGATCAGTTGGTTAAGAGCTCGCTCAAGAATGCGAGCTCTGCGCAACAGCGGTTCAATGCCCAGCCCGAGCTGAGCTGCTGCTGAGCTGTCAACAGGTGGCAGGATGGCTCAGCTAAAAAATAAATAAATAAATAAATAAACAAACAAATAAATAAATAATAAAAGCTAATAACAGGTAATGTTCTAAGCACCTTAGTTGCATCAACTCATGTTATCCTCATAACACTAGGAGGTCGCTATTAATGTTTTTTGTTTTGTAGATACTCTCTTAAGGTCTAGTTATATAACTTGCCATGCCACCCACAGCTAGTTAATGGCACAGATGGGTTACACATATGGAATTCTGGCTCTAGAATTCTGTACCATACTGTTTATATAAAATGTCAAAATGTTCATTCATATTCATTCAGCAAATATTTGTTGAGCTCCAGGTGCCAGACACTGTTTTGGGAGTGGGGAATTCAGCAAGAAACAATACAAGATGGCTGCCCTCTCAGAGCAAACACTCTTGGTGCGGGGGAAGTGGGGCCAGAAGAAAGTGGAGCATTGGTAGTGACATCCAAACAGACAGACAAATAAATAATAAAGTATCAGGGGGTCATCATTACTATTTAAAATACGTACAAGGCATGAGATAACTGGAGGTGTTTTATTTATTTTATTATTATTTTTAAAGATTTTATTGGGGAATTGGGGGATGGGAACAGCATTGGGGAGTCGGGGAAGGGGAACAGACAAGTTGCTGTCCTTTTGTTCTTCAGTATAGTTGTGGAGGACGTTGCTTCACCGGCCCATGTTGGTGTTATCATTGCGCTCTTTCTGGGTGAGGCAGATCGGTTGCTGGTCTCTGGACAGCCGCTCATGGCGACTCTGGGCAGCTCACATCGGCTACTGGCCACACATAGTAGTTTATGGCAGCCCACTGCAGCAGGGGCTGCAGCCCCAAGGTTGCCGGTTCAATTCCCACTTGGGCCAAGGAGCTGTGCCCTCCACAACTAGATCGAAGACAACTATTTGACTTGGAGCTGATGGGTCCTGGAAAAACTCATTATTCCCCAATAAAATTTCTTAAAAAAAATTAACAGACAAAACTCTAACAACTGGAAATTTTACATTGTATCTTTCTCCTTGAATATGTTTTTCCATTCCACTTTCTTCAGAGAATTTGTCCTAATGCAACATAGTTTGATGGTCTGAAGTCTTTTACTGATTACTAGATTACAACAGAAAAAATTCTCAAATCTTCAGATGCTATATGTAATTCCTTTCTCTTTTAATTGCTCTATTAATAGTACCCCAAAAATCAGAAAAAAAAAATTAAGAACAAGAATGAACTCAGTGTTCATCCCCAAAGGAAGTAAATTGTTGAAGACTATACAACTAGTAATAGAGAAAGGTAAGACTTAACACCTGGGTCTTCTTGCTTTCAACCCACTGCTCTTTTCACTAGGCCATACTGCCTTTACACTAAATAATAAAACATAAAAAGGAAGCTACTGTTAATAATCAGAGAGCATAAGAGTTCAAGCTCTTGAAAAACAGGGGTAAAAACAGAAATACACATCTATCTTAAAGGTTTTCCTACCTTATTTTTTTTAACTCCATTTGTAATAGTCTGAAATATACTTGGAGGAGGAGTCTTTGAAACACATCTTTTTGATCTTCGAGGTGTTGTTACATGAAAGATTGGAGTTGCAAGCACAATTTTACATGTATCATTTATGGGCCCTGGAAGATCAGTCTCTCTGGGCATTGTTTTCTCATTTCCTTCCTTAATTTCCTGTTGTGAAGTCCTTTTTGTTGTCACCTCACTATCAAAAAACATTAATTGATCGCCATTTTTAATATGAACACAGTCAGTATTGAGAGTCTCAATAGTAGAACTTGGGGATTTTTCACAGGCTGAGTCGCTGCCTCCTAAAATAAACGTGTCCTTTTTGAACTTAGTGGTTGCAACTGTATTCCCCTTTGAATGAAGAATTTGTTTAGCCAACTGAGCTCTAGTTAATGCCCTGTTTGAGACTCCTGTGGCTAAAATACTTTCATGTTCCTGGTTCAGAATTGGAAGCTCTGCAAAAAATACAAAACCAAACAAAATTTATACAAGAATCACATGGAATTAAAAGAGAGAAACAGGACAATTTAACACTTTATATTAAAAGGAAGTCTTTGGGTTAGGAATGCTCTAGCTCCCTCCCACCCCTTACAACAGTCTTTCTCAGAGTGCCTCTAGCTTTTATGATTCAATCTTTATCCACAATCAGTGCTTACTGCCTGCCTACACAGGGAAAATAATTACCCAGAACATTTAACCATATATTCAAATAACAAACTAAAAAATAAAACAAAAAGCACTTTACCATAAGTTAAATTGTGCAGAGGCACTTTCTTTTCCTGCTGACACTGAACCTTTTGCTGGACTGGGAGTAAAATATTTGATGGTTCTAGAGGAACTTCTTGTATGGAGGCTGTGATTTTTTTTTAAAGAAAGAAAAAGATGAGTTCTGTTAGTCACTGAGAAGAAAAGAATGCCTTTTTAAAATCTTGAAATAAAGTTTCAGTAATGATCAGACCAATGTAGTATACTTTTCTAATACACGAGAGTTACATAAGTTTTACCCTTTATTATCTTCTCATGCCTTCACCCCATTCTCTACACCTACATTATGCTGAGAAAAATTTTTTTAAAACTACACCATGTTACAACTTGCCAGCTCTAGACAAAAGTATACTACTGGACTCAGAAGCCTAGGGATCTGGAATACAAATCTGGTGCTGCCACAAATCAGCTATATATATGTTAAGACTATATATGAAGTGCTGTCCAGTCTTCAGAATTCTGATTCTAGCTGCTGTAAATTTCTAAAAGGTGAAAGGACAGTTGAAGAGCTGTAATTTATACTTTAAAAATCAAAATGTTGAGACTCAGTCATAATTTTGTACCCCTTTGACATCTCTTTTGCAGGCCTTCAAAGGCACAAATCTGGTAGGCTATCAACTGCACAACAGGAAATACTAGTATTGCATACATTTTCTTCAGTATAGAAATAAGTTTCTTTCACACAGAAAGGGGAAGGTAATAGACTTAAATTTGTACCAGAGAAGGAAAACTGAATTATTTCATGTTTAATTTCAAATATTATACTTGAAACAAATTGGAAGTGATTGCGCTTTAATAAGTATGTTACTTTGTCCTTAGAAATCTTAATATAAACATTATAGAAGTTGCAAAACTTATTCTCCGGGAGCATTTGCAATCTTGCTCCCTGGCATATGTCATCAGTTCTGGCTGAAACAAACTCATAAAAATTAAAAAATATTTTTTATAAGGATGTGTCATAAAAGAATAAATTTCTATTTCTATTAACTCATTCTACTAGAAATGGCAGGGTAATGCAGTAAAGACAAGTAGGTAATATGATCAAATATAACACGCTGCATAATCTGGGTCATTTATTTGAGAGTCCAAGGACCCAGCAGAGACTCTAAAAGATCCCTGAAATTACATACAAAATTTGTGTTTGTATGTATGTGCATTTTCTGGGAAAAGAGTCATCAGATTCTCAAAGCAGTTATTTCTTCCTCTAATTCTACTTTACATATAAAATGTGCTTTAATGTGCACTAATTTGCTTCTCCATTTTCTTCCAGGCTGTGTGAGAAAAGAATTATTTTGTGTACTCCCCCACCTCTATCCTAAACTTCCTTAGAAAACTCTGCTTTTTGTGTCAAAATATATCATTGTCTTTGAAAGGAAACAATGCACCCACAATCTATTGTGTAGTAGTTAAGAGCATGCATTTTCTAATAGATACCTATATTTCATTCTCAGTCCATCACTTTTTACCTGTGGGACACAGAGCAGACAAAACATTTTTTTTTTTAAACATTTTATTGGGGAATTGGGGGAGGGAACAGCATTGGGGAATCGGGGAAAGGGACAGATGAGTTGCTGTCCTTTTTGTTCTTCAGTCTAGTTGTGGAGGACGTCGCTTCACTGGCCCATGTTGGTATTATCACTGCACTCTTCCCAGGAGAGGGAGTTGCTCACCAGCCATTGGATGGCCACTCAGAGCAGCTCGGCAGCTCACGGCAGCTCACTCCGGCTGCCGGCCACTCATGCTGGCCGGTGACTCATGGGAGCCTAGCTCCAGGTCGAACTGTTGTTCACAATCTTAGCTGTAGAGGGCGCAGCATCACTGGCCCTCATGTGGGATACAAACCGGGGCCCTGCTGCTCAGAGCTGGCATCCCAAGCCAACTCCTAACCAATGCGCCACTCGACTGGCCCCAGACAAAACCTTTTAATCAGCCCCATTTCCTACACTATTAAATGAGTATCTACCCATAGTATTTGCTGAAAAGATTAAATGAGATAACACATGCAAAATATCTTTATTAATTACTGCAATTCACTAAAATCTTAATTTCAAGTATCCCAATTTCTGGCCATATTCTATCTTTCCAGATCATTCTCTCAAATCTACTATCCCAACAAGACATACACTACACTTCTTGACACTTCCTCATCTCCTTCAGGTTCTCTTTTCCTTGTCTAACCAACTTAACCCGCCGTCGGGAGCAAATGATCTCACAGATTCATTGCACACAAAGATACCGCTATGAAATATGTCGTTACTGTACTAAGTCACAAACACGACTGGCGATAGGTTATGGTAAAGGGGGAAGATATGGAAGATATGAGTCATGATACTTAAGTTAACTGTTAGATATTTGAGGGATATTTCATGGCCAATTGTGGTTACCACCTTGCACACACATCCCAGGTACCTTATCCTCTGACTTCATCCTATTTTGCAAAATTACAATCCTGATAAAATCTAATCCCCTGCCTATTCCCCACCAGCACCTATATAGCTAAATAGGGATAGAGGAAAACTCACAAACATAGTGATTGGTCTCATTTAAATTCGTGCCCACAAATCTCAAGGAGGTCCTTAACATTGCCCAGGAAATCAAATTTCAGCCTAGACCATTTAATCTTCTACTCTTACACTAGGCAAACCTCTACCTCCTCAAATTTTAATACCTGCTTCCCATACTCTCAGCTGATGACTTTACTTCCTATTTCAAATTATTTCTGAAGTCATGTAACACTGCCTATCTTCTTGTTTGACTGATGACCTGGTTAGGTTCCTCGCTAAGGCCAAACCTCCACTTTTGGATTCTATTCCCTCTCAGCTACTCAAGGGTATCAGACTTCCTATCTCAGTTTTTCCTTCCCTACTGGATTATTCCTAATAGCATACAAAAATGTTATTTCACCAATTATTAAAAACAGTAAAATATTTTAAAACCATACTTCCCATATTTCTCAGCTCCCCTCAAAAAGCTGTCTATATTCATCACTGTCAATATCTCTCCTCACATTCTCTTGAACCCTTTTGAATCATGTTCTTGAATCACTCCATCAAAACTGCCCTCATCAGAGTCACCAAGGACCTCCATGGTGCTAGAGCCAATGGTCAAATCTCAGCCTTCACCTTACCTGACCAACTGGCTGCACTAAACACAACTAATGACTCTTCCCTTGAAGCATTTTGTTCTCTTGGCTTCCAAAATATCACACCTGGTTTTTTTTCTTCCTCATCTTCTTTTAAGTGGCCTTCACTACCTTCTATCCTTTATTTTAACTTCTAAATATTGAGTTGTCCCAGAACTCATTCTTGAATGTTTTCTCTTTCTACATTTACTCCTTGATGATCTCACCTTATCTCAAAACTTTAAACACCATTTAGAGGCTAATGATTCCCAAATATATTTTCCTCACCTGGACTACTTCCCTAAATTCCAACTATTTTTTTCCAAGAGCCTAATTCACACCTACACTTCATTAACAGACGTAATCAAAATTCACATTACAAAACTTAATTACTAAGTCTCCGGTCTTATTCCTCCTTCAGTCTGATCCATTTCAGTTAAATTGCTTCATCCTTCCTGTTGCTTGAGAAGAATAAAAAACCAAACATCTAAAACAAACAAACAAAAAAACCCACCCCGGGCCGGCCAAGTGGCACACTGGTTAAGAGCTAGCTTGGGACGCCAGCTCTGAGCAGCAGGGCCCAGGTTCAGATCCCACATGAGGGCCAGTGATGCTGCGCCTTCTACAGCTAAGATCGTGAACAACAGCTCGACTTGGAGCTGGGCTGCCGTGAGGCGATGGTGTAGGCTGCAGCCCTTGCTGCAGTGGGCTGCCATAAGCTACCGTGTGTGGCCTGCTGCCAGCGTGAGCAGCCGGCAGCCAGTGTAAGCTGCCAAGAGCCGCCATGAGCAGTCGTCCAGAGGCCGGCAACTGATCTGCCTCACCCAGGAAGAGCACAATGATAATTACCAACATGGGCCAGTGAAGCAACGTCCTCCACAACTAGACTGAAGAACAAAGGGACAGCAACTTGTCTGTTCCCCTCCCCTGATTCCCCAATAAAAAAAAGCAAAAAAAAAAAAACAAAAAAACAAACCAAGAAAAAAAAAACCCTACCCTGGAGTCATCTTTTTTATCTAACATGACACACCCCATAGATGGGCTAATCTGATTGGCTCTTCCTTCAAAATATATCCAGAATCCAACCACTTCTATGCGTCTTCACTGCGACCGCCTGGCCCAAGCCAATACCATTTCTCACCTGGATTACTGCAGTAACTATTTCAAATTAACAGCCAGAGTGATACTTTTAAAAGGTAAGTCAGGCTTTGTCCTTCTTCTGCTTAAAATCCTCCAATGGCTCATGTTGCTCACAGTAAAGGGCCACACTCGTACATTCGCCCCAAAGGCCCTACATTATCTGACCCTGTCTTATTTATCCCTACCTCCCCAGCTCTGTTCACTACCTCTATGATACACTAATCCCCTAGCTAGTCCTTGAATTTGTGAGGCATGCTCCTATTTCAGGGCATTTGTACCAACTGTTATCTGTCTGGATCATCCTTCCCCAGTGCGCAAGATACTTATCTGTATCTATCACCCTCTTCAAGTTTTCAGCTCAAATACCTTCTTTGAAGCATACCCTGACCACCCCACTGAAAATACAACCTGCTCTAATTCTCCCCATCATCCTTACTCTGGTTTTTCTTTCCACAGCACTTCTCTTCTACTGTACCATAAAAATTACTTAATTACTGTATCTGTCTCCCACCGACTGAATGTGAGCTAGCTATATAAGTGCAGGGATTTTTGTTCATTTGCTCACTGCTGTATTTGGAATACCTAAAACAGTGACAGACACAATAAACAACACATTATATAGCTTTTTAACCAACACATAATAAAACTAACCTCTTAGTGAGCTGTTTTCTGATTGGAATAATTTGTTGTTTTCCTTTTCTTCACAGAGGTAGGTATGCTGAAATACTCTTTTCTCAGCTCCATTAGGAGTGAATATTTTATTACTTTCAGCTTTTTGTGGTTCCAACAAACTACTGGTTCTTGATGCTTGTTCTTGCTTGTTAGGCAATACTTTTTCTTTCATTCTTTGAAATATTTTTCCTGGTGATTCATACTTTGCTTTATTTTTTAATCCATCCTTGTTAGGCTTTATAGCACTGATATCAAGAGAACTATTAGAGGTGGCAGCATCTGTTAGCATGGTAGACTGAAGTATATTTTTATTTTTAGAAATTGTTGTTTCTAGGAATTGATTCATTTTACGGTTATTCAATTTTAAAAAGGAGTTCTGATATTTCACCAAATCTTTTACAGGAGTAAGTGTGCCTGAAGGAATGCTGTCAAAAAAGACAGCATGAATGGGCATATTTCCCCTTTGAGAAGATGTCTCTGAGGACAAGTGAATTCCTGGATGTTTCAAAGGTGTTGTAATCATCTTGATAAACAGGAGCAACCAATTTCCTCCATCAGAAAATTCACGTAAACATGGTGTTCAGGACAGATCTTCAGCAAGGGCCCAGAGGAATCTGTAATTCAATGTGAAATCAACTTTTATCATGCTTTGGTGCAGAACAAGTTTATTTGCATTGCATAACGACAAAAGGTTTAATTGGTTCATAACAACACTGGGTAACCTATAGCTCACAAGTCAGACTAAAATTTTATATTTTTGTTAAATCTCATTTTATTTTTTATTTTTTAATAGATGAGCTGTTTGGTCTTTAAATTTACTTCTCTACAAAAAAAACAGCATCCATCAAGTCATCTACTTAATAACTCTATGAATTGAATTTTGAATATCTGTTTTTGAAATTTACTTAAACTTCAAGTCCTGGAACTTCCAACCTAGTATTTGCATTACAAAGCACTAAATGACATCTGCATATGGCAGTATATTAGGTTATAAAATATTAAGTTTCACAAATATTGTTTTTCCCTTTAGGCACTTAAATTTTAAGGCAGCAGCTACAATGATATATCCTAATGAAAGCTGAAAAATCCATTCTATTTTTTAGCTAAATAATCCCCAATCCTGATTTTGTTATGCTGCAGAACATTTTAATTATGAGGTTTTTGTTAAAAAACCTTCAAAAGAAAATTATATTCATTCTAATTTTTTAAAAATCTAATGCTATTTAGAATTTTTCAAGGGAATCATGTACTTGAGCATAGATTGTCTTAGTATTGTTTTAGCTTGTTTCTTATGTACAAATTTTATATCTGACATGCAGAAATTATGATTCTAGGTGATAAGCCATACAGTTGCTTTCTATAATACCTGATAAATATATCAGCCCAAGGAGCTTGGAACTTACCAGTCTAGATTTATAGCATCTCTTAATGCTGAATTTATAACCATTCCAATAAGTCTTTGACATCATAAAAACATAAAAAGCCTATCACAGAAAATACTAATGCAGTGAGACTAAAGACATCAAGTATCTTTATCTACAGTAACTTCTGTGAGAAATAAATATGCAAGTTAAAAATTCACATACAAACAACTATTTTTCCAACAGTTTATAAGAGAAAAAAAAGGAAATATTTTTCATTAACAAGAGCCAACAAGGAAGGGTATCTTGGGAGCCTAGCCTGTGACATAAAAACTATTGAATTCTTCCACAGAATGTTAATTCAGCAAGTATGTACTAACACATACAATTATGCGGCAATGTGCTAGTGCCAGGAGTCTTGTGCTGGGAATTACAATATTCGCTAGCCATACACTTTAAACTCTCAAAAACGAAAATAAACAAACTGGGACAACTGCACGGGAAAATGGCAAACTATGCACAGGTTTACACAATCCCAATTCATCAGAACCTAATGAAATGCTCAACAAGAAGTATAAACTGCAAGTTAACTAGCAGAACTGAAAATAAGGCCAATGTGTAGTACACATATAGAACTGTTTTCATTTAAAGCCAGATAATTATGGTCACATTGAAAGGCTCTTGAGAACCAGCCCATAACTACTCTCTTTTAGGTTGCCCAACCTCTTCCCTCTCAATTCAAGCAAGCATGAGTAGGATGGAGAGGTGACTAGTCAAGATTTTGAAGAGCATCAGAACAGGCTAGCTATGAGCATTTATAGTAAATGTACATGTAGAAGTAAGGCTGAAGAACTATTGTTGTCATGGATATGATACTGAATGTAACTGTTACTCTTCTTCCCAAAAAGACATGAACATTTTTTCTAAGAATTTACTGTAGTGGTAGCAGTACTACTACTAGTTATCGTAATGGAATGGGTCAAAAATCTCAAAGCACACTAACCAAAAACTGGGAGCTGGAGTTGGGAAAAATAAGAGGAGTTGTAAGATAACTGGCAAATGGTACATTTGGGGAAAAAAAAGAACTACAACTCAGGTTCGCAAAGGATGCCCTGCAACTCACAAATTCAGCTTTTGCAGTTGACCTGTTCAAACAACTGTGTGAAAAGGAGTCAGCATGCAATGTCCTCTTCTCTCCACCTCCCTGTCACTTGCTCAAGCAGGCATCAAAGGTGACACAGCAAACGAAAGGACAGGTCCTTCACTTTGAAAATGTCAAAGTTGTGTCCTTTGGATTTCAAACAGTAACGCTGGATATAAACGAACTTAGTTCCTTCTACTCGCTGAAAACTAATCAAAAGGCTCCACACAGACAAATCTCTGAATCATTCCAGAGTTCTTCAGGTCAACCAAGAGACCCAACTTAAAGGAAATTCAAATAGCTGACTTCCAAGATAAACTGGAAGAAATGAAAGGCCAGAACAATGCAATCAAGGATCTCACAGATGGCCACTTTGAGAACATTTTATCTGACAACAGCATAAGTGTCCAGACCAAAACCTTTGTGGTTCATGCTGCCTACTTTGTTGGAAAGCGGATGGAGAAATTTCCTGAATCAGAAACCAAAGAATGCCCTTTCCGATCAACAAGACAGATTCCAAGCCAGTGAAAATGATGAGTCTGGAAGCCACGTTTTACGTGGTCAACATCGACGGTATCAACCATAAAGTCACAGAGCTCCCCTTTCAAAACAAGCACCTCAGCATGTTCACCCTGCTACCCAGCGATGTGGAGGGCTGAGTCCACAGGCGTAGAGAAGGTTGAAAAACAACTCAACTCAGAGATACTCTTGCAGTGGGACAATCCCAGCACCATGGCTAATGCCAAAGTCATACTCTCCATTCCAAAATTTAAGATGGAAAAGATGATTGACCCCAAAGCATCTGGAAAACCTAGGGCTGAAAAATTATCTTTAATGAGAATACATCTGATTTCTCTGGAATGTCAGAGACCAAGAGAGTGGCCCTCTCAAATGCTATTCAAAGTGTGCTTAGAAATAACTGAAGACGGTAAGGAGGCCACAGAGGTGCCAGGATCATGAATTCTACAACACAACAATGACGACCCATTTATTTACATCAGGCACAAAACTCGAAACATCATTTTCTTTGGCAAGTTCTGCTCTCCTTAAGTGGCAGAGCCCTGGTGAAGTCCCACGTGACTTCTCTGTGAACTCTGTATCCAGAGAATCACTTTCTAAATTTGATAAATTATTAATATTGCTGGATGAGGAACCTGCTGGTACTTGTCATATGTAACCCTCACACTAATAGGCACATCTTTTCCTATCTTTTCTTTTGTTTCCTGCCTCCCCCCAATAAAAGACAATGCTCTGAATGAAAAGGAATCACTCCAGAGGAGAAAACTATCTAGGGTTATGGGCTGGAATACGAGTACAGTCATTCACAAAGAAAATTCCTGTAAATCAATACCTTAATATTTCTGCCACAAAATGTAGAATAGTCACACAAAATGGACAAAGACTCTAAGTAGCCCAGGAATGTCAGGTTTTGTTGACAAATGTGTATGCCACCAGTTTATGAACAAGCTTTGTTTTCAGAACTTTTCAAGATTTTGGAACGTTAGATAAGGAATTGCAGACCTATAGTAGCTAAAGTGCAGCCCCCTCAAGGGGAAGTTCAGATCTAATTAAAAATTCACTTTCACTTTTGATAGACTGCCCACCTGGTCATTTGGTTGGTGACAGGCCACTGGCAGGGGCTTCTACCGGACTCAACAAAGTTTTGGATGTCTGACAACAAGAGACTTAATTAAAATACACAGGAACTCTCGTGGTAGCCAATAAAAGACTTTTATATGTGTTGAAGGAAGCTGTCTCTTTGTCTAATGTGATAGTGGGTAAGGGAAAGGGTATTAGGCCTTTAGAAAATATAAAGCTATTGAATTGCTCACGCTGCTTTGACACCTATTTTTCCAAGTCCGTAGATAGCTAGTCAGTAACTTACATTAATAGTAATTTTAAAGGTTGGTCTGATAAGTTAACTATGTTGCAAGTTCACATATTAATTCACTATCAAAAGAGCACATTTACTGAAGATTTTGTGACAGTCCCTCCCTCAACTCTTCTCCAGAGTTCCTTGTAAACAAGTTCAACTTTCTTTTTGCTCTGGAGGAACAATTAATTTCTTCTATGCTACTGACAATAAAATATTATTCAACTAAAAAAAATTGCACTTCTAGATTTTTTTCTTACAGAAACATCTACAGAAGAGTGCAAATATATATGTGGTAATAATAGCCACCATTTACTGCATACATACCAGACACTACATAATCTTACAGCAATTCTTAAGAGTTAAGCACTGTTATTATTCCCATGTTATTCCCCATGAAGATGAGGAAACTAAGGCATAGGGTGGTTAAATAACCTGCCCAACGTCCATTGACAATGAATAAGAGCAGAACCCAAGTCTGATGTCAAAGCCCAAATTCTTACAGGCACTGCCTACGGACGTTCACTGAATTACCCAAGAAATTAAAAACAATCTACATGTCCAGCAATATGAGACAAAATTCTGTACATCCATACAATTGAATTCTATGTATTCGATACAAACATATATATATGTAATATCATAGAAAGCAGCTAGTATATATTAAATAAAAGAGAAGGAGCAGAACAGTACAATTGCATTTCTGTAACACACATGCACAGGAGCATATGAAAGAGGGAAAACCTGGAAGTGTACCAAATTGTAAACAGTATTTATCTTTGTAGAGTAAGATGAAGAGCCCTTGCATTTTCTAATTTTATTAACATCTGAAAATGTTTGCAACCAATATGTAATTTAATCAGAAGAAAACAAGCTGGGTGGATCAATTGTTTCTATAGTCCCGTGGCTCTTGGGTTCCAAGGTGACAAATCGGGCAGGACGCACACAATTTTCCTACTTGGCAATCACTCTAAAGTTTTCGGGGTTTTTTCCCCTGGAAGTGATTTTTAGAACAGGTCTACAGCGCTCATCAACGAAACGAATCTGAACGAAAGTGGTCTAGTCTCTATCTTGATAACTGCAGTAGACATGCAAACAAATGTACACACCGAATGTAGTTGCGAAACGACTGCCAAAGCCAGAAACGTACAAAAGCCTGCGTGGGCCTAGAAGGCTGAAGGGCTGGGACTCGCAGCGCCGGCGAGGACCGGCGGCAGGAGGCGAGGGGACGCGGCAGGGAGGCCGTACCTTGGGTGAGGGGCCCGGCAGGAGAGACCGCGGCAGTCCCGGCTCTGCTTCGCGCGGATCAGGGAGCGGATGGGGCAAGTCAGGAGCCCCAGGGGGACCACGCCTCGGACCCACGTCGGCTCCAGCCCGCAGCCGTGGATTCCCCAACACACACAACAGTGTGGGAATTCAAATTTGAAGAGCCCGCCCTCCAGCCAGCCCGGGATTGGCGCACTCAGGAATCGCGACACCGTGCGTTTCACGTGGACTCACGGGAAGTGGAGGCGGCTCCCGCGACGCGTGGGCGATGCTGCTTCCACAAAAAGTGGGTAATCCCAAGATGCCTGACTGCCGAGCGCGCCCGTCTAGTCCATAGGGTTCATTTCGTCTTCAAGGGGCGCGCGCCCGCGGCGGACTCCGCCGCTCCTCCCGTTATGCTTTGCGGCAGGAACGCCTACGTCAAACGTCGCCTGCACGCTGCGGCGCAATGGCGCTGCTGTGCTGTATGAAGTTTGGCCCTGCCGGGCTACCCTCCTCACCTACCAGTGTGCTCGCTCTTCGCATTTAGTTATCTGTTTCTTCCGTGTCTGGGGAAACAGCTTGCTGAATATGTTTGCGAGAGCTTTTAGTTTTCTCAGGCCGTCAGATATTTGAGACTGAAAGGAACGTTTTGTTTTTGAGGGGATAAAGGACTGAATACAAAGTTATATCTGCAATGGGATGTTTAATTTGAGCTATTCCCCCAGGAAGTGTGATTTTTTTTTTAATATATCATCTCCAGTCGTAAAATCTTTAATCTATACGAGTCTGGGTTGCGGTGCAGTTTGTGACGGGGGCTGAGGCTGAGCCCTGCCTGAGGCTGCACCCGGTGATGCTCTGCTCTGACCAACCTCTGCGAAGTATCCTGTCCTTCGCCTCAGCGCTCCGGCAAGACTCAGTCGCTGCCCGGAAACAGCGTGGGGCGCCTTGCTTCAGTCTTGCAGGCAGAGAAGGAGGGGCCAGAGGAATACCAAGGGTTTTCAGCCCTAAATCTCTTCCAGCTCCAGTCCTGCGTCTTCTCTCCATGAACTCCGCCCCAGCTCTTACCCACCCCAAGTCAGTATTTGGGACAGGAGTTTATTTTATGCCTCACCCAAGAAAATTCCTCAACATCCTAGAGTCATATATCGCATTTCTCCATTAAGCCTGGACTGAAACGGTTGTGATGGATTAAATTTTTTAAGTGACTTTTGCAATCCCCTCTTCCAAATCCTAGATCCACTAAATCTTGTGCACATTGAATATTCAGAATCCAAAATATAAATTTAAAGTATGCAAATAAATGCAAGTAAGGAAAAGAACCCATTTTGAAGTGGGGCGGGAAGCAAATCTACAGAGATAAAATGAGGTTTCTGCCTGTGCAGCATAATGAGGAAATGGCTGGACATGCATTTGCACCAAGTTTGTGAGAAAAGCCAGACTTAAAATCTATGTTAAGTGACATGTCTTGAATATTATTTGTGGAATAATGGGACTTTGAAGAGGTAGGTATTCATACTCCAAAGCATCTGAAATAGAGGTACGAGAGGTTTCTATGCCTGGTGATGAAGATAGCTATGGCTCACACCTTCAGCCAAAATGGGAACCTTGAAATATTAAGGGAAGACACTCAGCATTATGGATTTTTATTTTTTTAATTAGCCAATTGATTCAGCATTTTCTTGGTTGCTGTAAACCTTTGACTATTTCCCAGAGTTCTGACTAAGTTAAACTAACAGTATTTGTTTGATATTTTGATGTTAAAAAAAATGGACTCTAGGAATTACCTATTTTGCCATTTTTACTTGGTCATGCTTTTTTAGTAAAGAAAATGACTTGCATAAGGATAAATAACGCCTCCTTTTACCAGCTCCATTTGCTCTTCACATTCCAAGGGGATGCAATCCAGAACCATCTGTTTCTATTCCACATTACTTGTTTACCTTAGGGAGATAAGGTTTCTCTCCTCTCCCAGGAGATGAGGGTATATAGCTGTATAGCAGTTGTTATATAAGCTATCAGATTCATAATTTCAGAGGTCCTATCCTGCGGTGCAACAACCCTTTTTTTATACATGCAGAAATTACTGTCTGGCTCTTATCACATTACCCCATAGAGGGTACATGGAGCTTGGGAATCCAACGTGGTTATTGCTATATTAATGGCCAGTCCTAATCTATAAACTTCATGTTTGGTAACAGGACAAGAGAAATAAATGTAAGATTAAAAGCTTACCAACCACTAAAATGATTTCATATCACACAGCAGTATGGAAATCATACTGCAGATTGTTTTATTACAATGTTAGTGGCTTAAGGTAGTCTTCTGTAATGAAATATTATGTAAGCTGAGACCTAAAGGATATCAGGAGTTAGCTAGGTGAAGGAAGGGAATAATTAATTCCGGGGAGGCCAGCTGGGATGATGACATTGAGATGGAAAGAATGCAATAGTTTGTTTAAAGAATGAAAAAATAAAAGCTAGCAGAAGAGTGGTGATGAATAAGGTTAGAGAGAGATAAATGTCTGATTATTTTGAAGGGGTATGTTAAGAACTTTAAGGGCAAAGGAAAGACATCAAATGCTTTTAAGTAAGAGAGTGACAAGTTCACATTTGTTTTAAAGAAATGAGTTTGACTGCAATGTAGAGATGATCGTTTTATAATGTAGGAAATGAATGAATGAATGAATAAATAAATAAATATTGATAGGAATAGAAGATACATGACCCAATGAAATCTTTTGGTAAACACCAGAAAAGAGATCAAAAGACAGGCTGGCCGAGATATACTCTGCCTGTAACTTGGGACAAATTCAACATTGAAATCGCCTATTTTCTTCTACTACAACTTGTAAGTTTAGATTGATATGTTGGTTTATTTTTAGCTTTCTATTTTGAAATAACTAGAGATACATAGGAGGTCACACAGGTAGCCCAGAGAGCTCCTGAGTACCCTTCATCTATTTTCCCCCAGTGGCGACAGCTTATATAATTATAACTATTAGTACAATATCAAAAATAGGAACTTGACATTAGGACAATGTATGTATAACTCTATGTGAATTTATCCCATCTGTAGATTTGCAAAACTACTACCACCATCAAGAAACAACACTATTTAATCAGCAGGAATATCACCCTTATTCTATCCTTTTAGAGTCACACTCATACCCTCTCTCTTCAATAATCCTGACCCCTGGCACCACTAATCTGTTTTCTAGCTCAGTAATTTGTCATTTTGAGAGTGTTTATAAACAGAATCATATAACATGTTACCTTTTGAGATTGGCTTTTTTAAAATTCAACATAATGCCCTTGAGATTGATCCAAGTTGCTGTATTAATAGTTTGTTCATTTTATTTATAGATGTGCCCATAGTCTCTTTAACTATTCATCTATAGATGGACAATTTGGTTGTTTCCTATTTTTTGTTATTATAAATAAAGCTGCTATAAAAAATCATTTAAAGCTTTTGTGTGGATTTAGTTTTCATTTCTTTGGGACAAGTGCCCATTAGTGTAATATCTAGCATATGGTAAGTGTATGTTTAGTTTCTTTGAAATGGCCAAATTATTTTCCAGAGTGGCTGGAAAATACCACCAGCAGTGTATGAGTGATTCAGTTTCTATACTTTATCACCAGCATTTGAGTTTTAGAAAGACCACTTGGGCAGTGTGTAGAGAATTGATTAGAATGGGATGACACTGTAGATGGGAAGCCTATCTCAGAAGCTTTTGTAGCAGTCGAGGTACTGTATGATGAGAGCCTAACCCAAAACTTTGGAAGTGGAGATGGGCACACTGGCGAGAGATTAAGGAAGTATACTTGACAGAATTAAATGGCCAGTTTGATGTGGGACCTCAGAGATAGAAATTTTTATTATAAAACAAAACCTCATTTCTGGTTTGGGAAAGTTGATGGATAGTTGTTGCCCTACAGCTACGTCCTCGACCGCCCCCTCACACCAACCCCTGACCTAATGAGGTCATGAGGAAGTGTCTCAGAATGCTGAGACCCGGTGGAATGATATCAGTAAAGTTTCCTCAAGAGGGTGTTTCGAAATGCCGAGACCTGATGGAATGATATCGCTCATCTCCCTTATCTTTATAGTCACGGTACAGCGGATGCCATCTGGGGGTTGTGTGTGAGTGTATGAAAGCACAGTATGTGTTGGAATACAATGGGGTAGGTTAATGGAAAACAGCCATAAGGCACGTAGCAATTGGACTTTAGAATAAACCAGTTTCACTTCTTTGAAAAGTTTCTCAATAAAAGCTATGCGTTGGCCCGATTCAGGGCTCAGTCCCAGAGAGGCTGCAGCCCTTTGGCCCCGCTTTAACTCTATACTTGACTCTTGTGTTTCTATAACCCTGCGCCGCCCCTCTCGTACTCCACCGCCCTTGCTGCGCAGGACGCGGCAGATAATGGTATTATTTATAGAAGTAGGTAATACCAGATAAAATATTGGTCTGGGGTTAAGAAGATACATTTAGTTTTGATATGAAGAGTATTTATTACGATATGAAAAGTAAAATAATTCAAGTGTGTGATGTAGCTTAAATGGCAATGACTATCTTTTTGTTCCATTTTTTGTATATGAAAATAAAAACCCTGTTGTTTAACGTGTATGCCTTGAAGTTAATTTTCCTCATTTTCCTATCAAATAGCTCTTTTCCTTTGTTTCCTCTTTTGTTTCAAATGATATGTTTATATTTGGTCAAAGTGATTTTTAAGAACTGATTGTTTTGTTTATGCTGTTGAACAAACTCAAAAAGAATCTGGAGGCTTTGCTAGAAATAAATGAGATTTATTCAAGGATGTTAGAGTTTGCAAACTAGAAACACACCTAGGAAAAGCCCCGGAGTGGTCCAAAAAAAGAGAGAAAATTTTAAAAAGTCCCTATAGCAAAAGTACATTCTTGAGAATTATCAGTCCTGCATTGTTAGCCCTAGAATTGGTCCAGGAGAGTTATCAGTCAGATGATAGGCAATCAGGCTGGTGGATGCCATGTGGTCCAGAAATGGGTGCCAGGATGTCTGGTCACGTCTAGTGGTCTGGATAAT